GGGGGGGGGGGGGGGGGGGGGGGGGGGAATCAAGTCCGTCCCCTGTACCAAAAAGCGGCGAAATTCAACGCCAGATTGCCGCTGGGCGGCTGAGCGGACACAGAGCGACTTGAAGGCGTCCGCTCGTGCTGCTGTAGTGTCGGGGTACTTGAAAACCCTTCTTGGTGCAATCCTTGCGGAAGTAGAGAGGGGGTGGTGCTATGCTTCTTTTGGAACATTACCAGCGCGAGGTGCTTGCATGTATCGCTCTCGCAGCAGGGCTTGCCGCCCTCCTGCTCTGGTGGTCCCCCGGCATGAGCGAGGGTAGAAGCAGCGGTGGAGTTGGCACGAGCGGCAGCAAGAAACCGCTGGCGCACACTCCAGGCATTCGAGCTGTTTGCGTGCAGGTAAGGGAATAGGGTTTCTAGCTTCTAAGCTCCCGTCTTGATGTGTTGGTCGCGCTGTCTCGTATGGTTTTCGTCCAAACAAATCGTAGCATAAGAGATTTGAGATTTTTTTCGCGAACGCCGAGGGGAGAGGGGGGAGTTCCCGCTGTTTTTGGCAGCTAGTTCCGAATCACCGACGTACATTGGGTCACTCGAAATATAAAATGGTCGTGGTCACGATTCTGATGTGTGAGATATTTGCTGCACTGGGTTGATGGTCGTAGGTGGACAGAAGAGGGCTCTTTTGCCGCTATCGCTGTTAGTTTCTTACTGCTGTAGGTGGGTGACACTGCTGAAAGAATCTCTCCGCACAACAGGAACCGAGCGTAGACTAATCGTACAAGAAACCACCCCTCCTAAGAAACCGCACGCCTCACACCTTACACACCCTTCAAGGACACACACCCCTTGGTTGATAAAAGGTCCATACTTTTTTTGAAATCCAAGCGCATTGGCCGATTTATCACGTGGATCACGTAAGATACCACACCCCGCGGCTCCGCCCGCCGGATTACATCACGAAGCCCGTGGGCAAATCACCCCGCGTAATAACCGTGAGATCACGCACAAAGAGGAGAACGAGGATTGGATGAGGCCTCCTGCCCCCGACGCAGGAGGTCCTCGCCCCTGGGTATATCGCCGCGGCGTGAAACGTTTACGCCGCGGCGACATGCCTAGGAAAATGATCACCGTGGTGAAAGATATCAACTACTCAGTATTCTTGACACCGTTGTCGATCACTTCGTGTATGTTTTGGATTGGATGAGGCCTCGCACGTCCAGGGTGAGGAGGGCCCACAGAAACACCATGGACACCAGCAGCAGCATGGCAAGTCATTGATTTTATCTGCGCATCTAGCTTAGCCGCCAGAAGTGGCTGTTCACGACTTTCATGTTCATATGTATATCTAGCACATGTCTTAAGACACCCGTTTGAACCGTTGTTGTCGGGGCATCAACGCACACACACGTGGGATCCGAATATTTCAGCGAAACGTGATCGTTTTGCTCTCGAGTCTCCCTCTGCATGATGATCAATACGCATGCTGAGCGCTGACTACCTTTTCCACGTGTGCAAGTAGGATTCTTTCACGCAGGGCTCGCATGGCGGCGGATGGGGGTCGTCCGCTTCGTCAACAGGACAGGGGGACGGGCCAGCCGCGGCAAGCAGCAAGTGGGAGCAGAGCAAGCAGAAGGGAGATCTGGGTTACTACTTCGCTCACCACATCACCATGAAGGAGCTCGCTCCAGAAGATTACCAAATGAACGGCCCGAAACTGCTCAGCAAAGTAAGTATGCGCAAGGACAGCAGTGCAGAACCTCTCGTGTAACTGATTTGATCGAAACGTCCTGTCATTTGTCCTTTTCCTTGTTGGTTTTCAGTCAAACTCCATGTCTTGTCGGACGTTGTCTTGTGCATGGCGAAATATGGGCGTCCTCGTACAATCCGGCGCATACTTGCAAATAGAGATAATTTTGGGCGACATCATGGATTTACTTGTTCTTAGGCATGGGGAGCGGTCTCATCCCCTTTGTTCGTTCGTCAGCGTTCAACTCTCAGCGCAAGTTTCTGAAGAAAGTCGACATGTTCCTCTTCCAACTCCTAGGTGTGAACGGTTCTTCACACTCCCTCCGATCACCTTCAGCGCGACCCGTGAGTCCCCATTGCCTCGTGTCGTTTATCTTCCAGTTCGGCAGACGTTGCACCGGTGACACTAAAATCTTTGTTTCAGTAGTCTACGTTATTTTTGATGAGCGCCCGGGAGTCACGGCGGCGCTGCACGACTCGCAGGCCTGTAGGATCCAAGTCCCTGTGACATGCCACAGCAGTTCCGCCCTTGCGCAGTTTGGAAGCGAGTCCGCGTTCATCGAGCTCTACCGTACGCGTTGCGAACGCTAGCTCGGATTTTGGTGTAGGTCCCGGATTTGTATCGATCCACCCATAAAGCACCCAGAAGCAGAGCGCTACTTGAGTACCTGCTGCATTCAAATCAACCACGGCGATCACAGCATCTCCAGCTAGGATGTGTGAGGACCGAGTTGTGCGGAAACAATGGTCGCAGGCACTTACGTACGCTCTGGTTTTGCCGGTGTTATTTGCTTGATCGTTTCATACTACCCGTTCAACATGCAACAATGTATTTCGGTGAAGGAAGGCTCATGTCAGAAGCTATCAATGCAAATCTGTAGCCCTGTTTTGTCACAAGGACTGAAATCTGTAGCACATTGTTGTCACAAAGACTGAGATCCTAGACTCAATGCATAGCTGACCAGTTGGTTCTGCGGTGGATTGGTACTACCTCAAGTTCTGAGATAGGTCTGCGAGTGGTGCAGTGCCGCCTTGATTTTCGCATGCAGGTTGCACTCTGCCCTTGATCAGGCTCGCAAAGCCTTCTCTTGGCAACACACGCATCGCTCTTCATCTTGCTCCTCCTGTACGGAGTCGAAACATTCCACGTAGCATGCCCATGCCGTTCTTGCACCCACTCGTCGCATGCACACGATCCCGGCGTGTCAACAACAGTGCGATACCACCTCCGGACCCAACGGCGCAAGACCCAACGGAAGTTCGTCCGCTTGCTCCCCTCCCGTGACGACGCGGCGTCGCCGACCTCAACAAATCTCGTCCTACGCTTGGGAAGACTACGGCGAGGAAGTCCGGCTCACATTTCGGCAATCCGAGTGGGAGTGGGCCAAGGTGGACGCGGAAGAGATAGAGATTGAGTGGGGCTCTCGGCGGTTCCGAATGTCCATCGACAGCAGGTATGCATATTCTCCCGCGCGGAGCGTGTCATGTGTTGTTTGCTGAAGCTCGACAGTAGTCTCTTGAACGAGGAGGCCTGCGTATTGTTGTGAGTTTCACTAGATAGAGCGGAGGTCCTCCTAGTTTGGACACAGTCATATGCTCTTTCTTCAGGACCTGCTGTCCGGTTTAAAGGAGGGCGCTTCAGAGGAAACACTTCGTGTGTAGTGGGATCGAGTGCAGTTTCGACGCGATTGCCCGTTGTTGATCCGGAGACCATCGCGAAGCCGCGGTCAAAGGGTTCGTTGTTGACGTGAATAATCATAATGGTACATCGCAACCTCCTCTCACTTCATATCCCACACGCACTCTTACCCACGAAATCGTTGCAGAGAGTACGGTCTCCACACGATTGACCTCCAGAGGTTGAGCGGCGATGTGGTAGGGGTGAGGGCCCGGAAGCTCAAGACCAGGCTAGTCGTGGCCCTCGTGAAAGGGGGACGACAGGGAAGCTACAGCCACGGGCCGGCTTGGAGCAAGCTGCAAGCAGCTCCCGAAAAACCCAGCGATTGATCGCGCGGCGGGATATGATGGTGGCGGTTGTTGGTGTCAGTGCACTCAACTGAAGTGTGTCATGCTGATTTACAGCTGGTACTACGTAAGGCCACATCGTAGCTGGGTGAGTGTGCTTGATGGGTCTCATGTTGCCCGTACGGTGTGATTTGGGTGGGGCCCTGATATTGAATGCATTGCAGTCTCCCGTGCGTGTGCCGCGGTGTCGCGAGTCAGACAAAGTCACAAGTGTTTTTAACCGTGTGCGGTCACTCGGAGCGAGGGAGGCTTTATTGCAAGCCCTGGACTCGCTTGTTCAGTCCGAGCTGGGCATGTGCTGCGCAATAACCGCGCGCATACGTACCAAGAGGAGGACTGGGGGTTGTTGCACCACTCGCGACCCAACATCTCTCTACCACTTCGTTGCGCGCCTTCGCCGGCTGCGGCAAGAAACACGAGTCATTGGTTGTAAACACCTCCTTTCCCAGAAAGAAATGTGCCGTCTTCTGGATCTCGTGACGGTTTCAATGAAACCAGTGCACGAGGCATTTGCCCCTGAAAGTAGCAACAACAGCAACAACACATACCCCCGCCGCAAACACGCCACCAGTAAAGCGTCTGCAACGCTTCCTCGTCTACTACGGAGCACCGTGCACACCGAGGCCTCGCACCCGGCTGCATCCACAAGTGCGAAGTGCTCGCCGGGATGCCATGGTGTTCCCTCGTCGTGTTCCACAGCCGGAGTAATTCATGTCGGGTTATCACATTGTGCGAAGTAGTGTCCCCGAGTACGCGGGACGTTGATCCAGTCTGCACCAGGCATTACGCGCACCGTCGCGTTGATCCATACTCCCATGGTAGGAATCTCCAAATGGCTTCAGCGCCCTTAATTTGATAAGGAAGTCCGTCGCTGTTGCTCTTCACCGTGCCAGCACGCGCCTGTAACGCAAGCGACCAGGTCGATGAGACAAAAGAGATATGTACACGACGCTCAGATAAGAGTACATCGTGATGTACCGGAAGATGCATCGCATATGGCCACTCTTGCCGAGATTGTACCGAATACAGGTGCGTTGGGTTCAAAGGGTATCCGACGAAACGCATGTCGCTCCATGTCCATCTTTAAAATGTTCCTCATCAGGCGGGGGAGACTCGCTTGCTTGTACTCAACCGGTAGCCACGGATAGTGTGGGACGGAGGGGCATACGGTGGACCTAACAGACGATCTAACAGACGGGTTCCACAACATGGTCCAACGTCGCAGTGAATAGGCATTTTCTACCCCCAAATAGACGAGACTCAAGTGGTCCCGAGTGAAAGGGCGTCTTATCAGGAGTGGACACAGCAGCAGTAGTGGTGCATGCTATCACGCCGTAACCATAGACTAGGAAAAACCATAATTTCCGGATACTGGTGCACACACAGAGCCTGTGCAAACGAGTGCGATCGGTGCATTTTCCATCCCTTACGGAAGTACTAGGTGATGCAGGCTTTTTGACAAGTACTCTCCGCAGCAACACCCAAGCACGCGCGTCGGCTCCATTGCATACCAAATATCACCAAGCTATCCGTCCCATCAGCTACATACCGCCCAGAGGGAGAGAGAAAAGGTGCCCGCAGTGTTCTGATTGGCCAGTTTTTTTGAAAGGAAATTTCTGGGTTGGCGAAAATTTCCTGGTCGACATGTGACGTCAGCCACGGCGGGTTCACTTTTTTTCTAGAAACATCCAGATATTTCATTCTGACCGTAGATGATGTGCGGTTTTTGTGTGCCCGCCGATTGATGATGTTTGGTCAATTTTGAAATAAATCTAATCTTTAATCATCAGGTGTTGGTTAGTGAGTGCAACACACGAAAAAACCCAACTACTGCAGCATACACTAGGTAGCCTGTGTGACTTTCCACTATTGTGAAAAGTCCATATACAAAACAGGGACCACATCACTGAGCTACACACAGCAGGTAGCAGCTGCCAGCAGCAGCAGCTATATCCACATACCCAGCGGGTGTGTGTGTACTACTACACTCACTCACTCCTTCGACTTTTACTGATGTTGTACAAGCATGTGTGTACAGCAGTACCTACTGTCGACCTTGCTTGAACCGGTACGCTTCATTCGACATATCGACGCATAGAACACACTGGCCTCTGCATCTCATCTATCCCTACTATTTTTACTTCGAGTACAGCAGCAGCATTACGGTATACGACACAAGATAACAAACCTCCCTGGAGCGATTTTCAAAGCTTGATTTATCAACAAGAAAGAGTCGCGGCGCCGAAAATGGTGGCGTTGAAGCCGTCTGGTGCAGAGCTCTCCCAAAACGTACTGTTTCGTTTTTGCATCCTCTTCGTCGTGGAGTAATTGAGCTTTGAAAATCGCTCCAGGGGGTGCGTTATCTTGTGTCGCGTATACGGTACGCACGCGCTCTGTGCCGAACACCGACCGATCGATATAATCGAACCAGCCACTCCGGTGGATGTAGGCACACATGATGCGTCCTGCCCCAAGAACACACAGCTGATAGAGAGGAGGTTCTATCAAGCGGGCGACAACCTCACTCCGCGTTTATTTATGAATGCCGCTGGTCGTTTACCTCTCTCAGCTGTGGTAGTTTTTACTCTACTAATTTTCGCCGCGTTTTCTTTTTTTCACATCATCGAATTGCCTCCATATCAATAGAAGTCCCCCGTGGGGGTCGACTCTGCTGTGTGTTGAGCGAGCACGAGACCACTGTACTTACACCTCACGCTCTCCTCGGTGTCTACTCCGCCAGAGTATCCAAGTCAAGATCGCATAGTAAGACTCACAGCAACCGCCCCTGGATAATAACGGGATGTACACATTTCGTTTGAAATGTGCCTTCGATGCCGCGGTGCACCACCATGTTCGTGCGTTGTTCCCGTCAGAGATCAGACTGCCGCCCATCCGACCGACCGTAGACTTCGATGCCGTGCCGCTCATCGATGCATTTCTGCGGCCGGTTCGTAGTTTATCCTCTCCGCCGTCTATTGCATGTGTTCCTGCTGTGCTTGGTAGAGACTTCGATCTCATTCAGCGATCCCCATGCTTGCACACCTCCCGTTTACGCATACAATAGCAGAAGGGAGATCCATGGCCACCTCCAGCAATCCTCGCACTCCACTCAGGGAGTCCAAGACGAAGAGGAACACCGATCTGGACATCTTCGGACTGGGCTCCGACGATGATGTAAGATAATCAGCGTGGTGTGATAGACATACTTTCCTTGAGATTTCAGGTTCATTGTGAACGCGAGCCTAGTCACACACACCCAGTCATGAACACAATCACACGACGATACACCCTCTTCCCATCCATGCATCCGTCCGTGATCCCACAGGACTTTTGCACTCCCCCAAGGGTGATGCGAAAAGAGGCAAATACAACACCTCTGACCCCACGGTCCCCGAACGTAGCAGCGTCACCATGTGGACCGAAGGTGAGAGACGATCAGTTCCCACCCGATTTACGATTTCTGATTGCGATGCCCTCCCTAGCCTGCTTCATTTACGCCGTCTCATCTATCAACAT